GTGATCATTTTTCAAGATTATTAAAAATAATTTTTTTTTTCAATATCGGATGTTATGATCCAAATGTACAAATATTATGGAATGTCTGTAAATAACTGCAAACTTTTCAATATTTTCCAGTTCTATATTCATTTATGGTTATTTTGATGCATCATTTGACTAGGTGCAAACATATTTTTTGACTTTCAACAAAGATTATTTTTTTTTTACTTTCAAATTTTATCCGCTTCCAATCAAAACTGTGTTGCCTCTTACAGGAACCAAAGTTGAAAAATACACAAATGAACAATACAGGTGTATTCTACAAACAATACTGAAAATTTTGGGATATAATGTTGATATTTATTTGAATTTGTGACCCCAAAGACCTTTTAACTGCCCACTAGTCATCATCTCATTCGCCCTCCCGAAAAAATTCGTCCACAAGCCGAAAATAATACGTAGCGAATGAGTTAAAAGGAAGGCACGTTGAAAAAGATGATGAGGTCAAAGAAGCGGTAGAGGGCTGGTTTTCTGACAAAGAGAGGGCCTTCTGTTCTCAAGGTCTTTTCAAGGTCATACACTCATGGCAAAAATGTATAACTGTGGGAGGCGACTATATAGACAAAGATTAAGGTTAGTACCAAATTTCAGCTTTCTACCTTTATTCCTTCATGGTGACGTAAACTTTAGGTATGCCCCTCGTAAGGATAGAGTTACAGTCAAAATTCAACATTTACTTACATATTCTGAGAAAAATAAATAGCCTAATACCTACAATAACATCCTATCTTCATCCACTGAAAATTTGAAGGCCCTAGCATTAACTCTCTCGAGTTCCCGCCCTTGTATATCGACCGTCGACCGATAGCCCAGAGCGAAGCTGGCTGTCGCTATAATAATTTGCCTAGAGTCTGCTATGTGGTTTATTTCTGTAAAGGAATGGCTAAACTTTTATAAATACACAAGTTGTAACTCCTTTTTCGAAAGAGTTAGCCGTTAGAGGTGCCCGGATAATGACCTCAATTTCCCGACTACTTTCGTTTCCTTCGCCTCCATTTTGTAAACAAAGAACAGCTGCTCGACTATCTTCACAAAAAACAAACAAGTTTTCGAGTAAAATGTCCGATTCTGACCCCGATTATGGTCTGGATGACTCATTTAGTGAGTTTTCTATCGACGACAGAAGCTCTGAATCAGATAAAGAGTCTGACAATGACGTAGCAAGTCCTCAACCAGGACCAAGTGGTGCAGCCAACGGGTAAGTGATGATTGCACTGAGCATCTATGAACAGCTAGACCTATCGAAACCTAATATTGGCCCGGGGGGTACTAAAACGTGTGTTTTATTGTATAAATGATTCAAATTTGGTGTTTTCTTATGAAATTGGTTAGAATTGATAAGTTTTTCTCGCTTTTATTATTTTTTGGGCATTTTTTTTGTACCCAAGGTGCGGTTGCTAGCTGCTTGTTTACGTTCAAAATGGCGGATCCTGAGACGATTCTCTTAGTTTACAACTGATTGATAACGTTTGCTATCAACTGCAGTTTGATATTATTTGCTTCAATTTAAATGTATCATCAATTTTTTATTTTTATGTGAACAAGGGAATAGTTTATTTAGATCTACAGTCTATGTGGCCTCAGCTCAGGTGAGTTGCGAGTTGTCATTTTTGTAAACTGAGTCTGACAATTGGGGAGTGGTATGATTGGAGTGGTGGAAAAAAAAAGTCTTGCTGGACTTGTTTTAACATGCCTTGTTCCTGTGCATTTTCCCACAGGGGTGACTTCATTGGTTCATAACGTGAAGCGGACAATGCAAGGTACCCAAGTTCAAGCCGACGCTGCGGCCAGGCCTGCATCTCGATGAGGACCAGACCAAACAAAATGCGGAAACATCTGACACCAGGTGAATTTTTCCCCCGCTCGATTTGCATTTTTATAATCATTATTTTGTACAAGACTAAAAAATCAGTAGATATTGTTAATGCTCAGGCTTTTTTTCTCAAATAATGAAACAATTCATAGGCTTTGCTTGACTATTCATTTACTTTAGCTGTAACAAGAATTTACGGACAAATTGGGATGTCTGTTATGTTCAAAATTAATTGTTGCACTGTTGAACACTGTGTGTGTGTGTGTGTGAGAGAGACTTTGTGTGTGTGTGTGTATTTGTGTGTGTGTCTGTGTGTGTGCTCTTGCATGAGAGGAAGAGAGAAACAGGGGGGGGGGGGGGGGGGGGCAGAAGAGAGGGTAAAAGAATGAGCGAGACGGAGAGAAGGGTTCATCCCGCAGAGATGTACTGTGTGTGTACATTTGTGTGATTGAATGGTGCATTGGTGTGTGTGTAGTATAATTTGTAATGTGTACTTTGCTGTGTTGTTGCTGAATGTTGTATGTTGATGTACTGGTATAGCCTATATATCCACCTAAAATTTCTCTAGTGGATCCATCAAATTTATCTTATCATATATATTGATATCTCTTATCATGGATGGCTTTTGTCAACAATTCTTTCTTGTGTATCTATTTTCCAACAGTTGCTTTCTTCACTCTTTCGAATGGAGGCATTTGATGATTTGTGTTGCAGATCTGCACATACACCAACAAGTAGGCCAACCTTGCGGCAATGAAAGAGACTCCTCCATCTCTAGCGCAGAAATAGTTTTCGTTGTTATCGTCTTGAGAAAGTTTCTTGTGTCAAATGTAACAAGTGTGGAAAAAAACTTCTGTTTTAGTGGCACAAGAAACTGTCTTCTTTTAGATCATCCAGCTAATGAGTATGAGTGATGTTTTTGTATTCAATGACATACTCTGGGTGGAAATATATGCACAAATGTTTTCGTCACTATTTTTCAACTCAAGTTTTTTAATTTTTCTAGCATCACAGTTGGTTTATAAACCGTTTAGATGATGAATTCTCTTCTTTTATTGTCAAATAATGTGATTTGAATGTTTTTGTAGAAATGTCATAGCCTAATCTTGGCACAATGGGAGTAATCAGAGAATTTAATGAAAATTTTATTTTCGGTAACAATTATCACCAAAATACATGTAATTTTCCATGTGCCACCAAAGTGTTCATATGGGTCCTAAATTATTCATTCTTTGTCTGTCATGAGCAGAAATGGACATTCTTTTAGAATATCAATAAATTTTGGGTCAATCTGATCATGCTTTTTCCCCCCCTTCTTTATGTTTGTCAGTTTCATGTAAAATTGTGTGCACAATCTATTTTTAGTAACAGTTAAAGTAGGTCACCACTGAAAGCAGACATTAAAAAAAATTAATTGTTATCATTTTACTGTATTCTACATTCAATTTCCTTTACATAGATACATAATAAGCCTGGGTATAGTACAAGACTTACTCACACCAGGGCAAAGATCTGAAGAGGTTGTGAATCAACACAATTTTCTCAAAAAGTGGCCGACCCGAGAGAGTTAACACTTTTTCAGAACAACTACTTTTAGTCTGGTCACCCAATAAAAATCACGATTTTTTTAGAAAAATGGTTTTTGAAGTTGAAGAAAGTTTTTACAAGTACTCTTCACACAGAAACAGACCCCCAAAAAATCCTAACATTGGAATAAAGTGTAACGATCTATTTAACAGTAAAAACAGCAATGCTGTTTTAGATGCTATCATGGAATCCACTACCCTCCTTTCTCTTCCTATTTCTGTTCTCCACGTTCTTTTTCTTCTGCTTACATCCAAGAGTAGAAAACGGTCATAACGAACTTTAAAAAAAAATTTTTTTTTTTTTTTTTACGTAGAGGGTTTAACGGCGCTCGCAACTGCATACGGTCATATGAGCGCCAAGGGGTGGGTGTCAACAGAGCAATCTTTACAGGGAATCAGACTTAAACTGCTCACCTCTCTAGCTTCAACAGCACAAGTTCTGCTTCGATTATCACGGCACCCCAAAATAGCAGGTCACAAGAGAGTGACAAACATACAAAGGGAGTAGAGGAAAATAACAATAGTAAGGATCGGGAAAGAAAAAGCAGCAGTTCCCTGTTGTAGATCAGGCACCGTTATGAGCGTGACATGAGTCAGTCCATTTACAATCCTACTATGCTTGAACGAGAAATGTCCTCCCTTTGGGAAAGGCCTAAAGACACTTCATCAGTGGCACTGCCCCTGGGGTTTTAACGAACTTTACCGAGAACTTAGGACGACACAGAAGAGTTCATTCCATTATACACTGCACAAGCGCCATGACGCCGGAGCCAGCCGAACAACAAATTCGGCAACGCAAATGTACACAGAAAAAAAAGAGGCAAACGACATGGTCACCTAACCCAATCAAAACAAAGAAAGTGCATTTGCATAGGGGGATTCCCCTTCCAAGCAGTCGTTCGATTCTGTCAATATCAAAGAAACTCTTCGTTAATCAGAATCTTCAAATCCTTAGCTTTCCGGCAATGTATAATTAGTCAATGTTCAAATAACAAGAAATTGAATTTACTTGTATGTTTTACAGGGGGGGGGGGGGGGGGAATTTATTCCAAACCCACCCCCCAGCCTCACCCGCGTCTTCCCTAAAGAAAACAATATGAGCAATCAATTCTAAAATCACTTTACTGTTGTTGAGATTATATTCTCACTTTTCAGGACTATTTGAGCATAAATTTCGCGAATTTCAACCTCAAGTTAGAAGTGTTAGAACACAAATGGTAATGGTCATAGAAACACTGCGTTTTAACCGACTCAAGAACACGAATGATGCTTTGTCTCATCTAAGCGTGGGTTAGTGTAAAAGAGATTTTAATTTGGAAATTTCTAGACGAGTATTCCCTGATGTGTTTTTCTTCTGACATTGATCCGGATCCACGACCATATTGTCAGGCCTATTTCAAATGCCAGCGAATTTCAGCGATTTCCTCCTGTTATCGGACACCTTACAGTTAAGAGTTCACGACTTTCACCCGTGCCGAGCTCTTAACAAAGCAAGTAAATGTTGGGGAAAGTGAAAAGCAGAGTCTCTTGTATCTGTCACAAAGGTGTAAAATCAGTACCTTCCCATTCTCCTTGGAGGCATTTCTGGGGCTTTATCTGCAGCCCGGATATCATAGCCGTACAAAGTGATGAGCTCTTCCCGAGATTTGGGTGCCTGTGACTCATCCGTGTAGCGGTCATGCGCCCATTTCCCCTCGTCCTGCCAAAGTTTTTTCTTTGGTCTGTGTTAGACATAAAAATTTAGAGAGCATGAACTGTGAATATCATCGCAAAATTTAAAACAATGAAAAGAAAAAATGAACATGACAAAAATGAAAAACAAAAAACATGAGTCTGTGGCAGCAGTAAGTACATTTGTGAGGCAGCATGGTGAAATCAGGTGTTCGTCAAAACTATGAAATCAAAGAAACAGGCATCTTTTTCTGGGCTTTGGGAAATTTTTTCCAATTTTCTTTTTTTTTCGCAAATGCATTTCTTTGTGGATGTTACAGAAAATGATTAATTTAAGGCACCAAAATGTCTTATTTCCACTTTCCATGGACACTCAAGCTTTGGAAGTCACCAAATTTGGCAGCCATTTTCTCTGTAATTTTGCCTCTCACATCAGGCAACCCCAACCTCCTTCAATCCCAAATAATTTTACTTCTCTTCAAGACAGATGGGTATTCTTTTTGCCAAAAGTGAGATAAGTGAACAAGCTTAAAGATGATATTAAAAACTCTAGATACCCCAAAATTGACAAATTGCTGATTCCACAGCGTCATAACATTTATATTTTAACAAGAGCTATATTATAAACCAAGGTGTCAAAATCAGATAAAATCTGAACACATCTGTAAGGGAAAGGTACTACAAATATTGGGCTCTTTTTTAATTCGCCTACACCATTTACTGTTATAACTGCTTTCAGAGTAAATGAGGGTACTAGGTAGAGAATTGAATGGATAAAATCATCATTCCTGGGCAACCGAGAGGAACATTTATAAAAAATGTTAAGGCTGCCACATTATTTGACAAATAGGGTTCAAATTTTGCATGATGCCTTTACGACAACATTGCAGCATTTTGTCAACATCATATATGAGCCTTTGCCAATAGGTACGGGATTAATCATATACCTCACAAAATCCTTTCCTATTCCAATAAAAATGATGCTACAGCTGTCAAATTTGTATATATTGTGCTTAATATGATGTTTCAGCTATGGGAGCAGAGAAATAGCAGTTGTGCCATCAGAGGAAATCTTACAAATATTTTTAGTTCTGAAATCGATATATTTTTTTAGAATGCAAAACGTGACGCGTCGAGTCCACACTTTTTCTGTCATCGAGTTCAACAAAGAAATAATTACTGAGAAACTCGTCCTTCTACATTTTTACCTACATAATTTCTGGTGCTACACAAGGAATAATGATATCTGTAGCTGCTTTTTCTTTGAGAGCCTTCAAGATTTTCATTTTCAAGCATAACTAGCTTGTGTTGTCATTTCACAAGGCAACTTCGATTCCTTGTGACTTCGTTTCTATCGGCCATTTTGGGGCTCTGGAACGAGCATAATATCATTCAATGTTTACTATCCGGCCTGATTGATTCCGAGGCTGTGACCAAGCATAATTTTGCAGTAAACGGAAATCCCGCGATGCCTCGTGCTGTCATCATTCGTATAGTTCGAAAGAACCAATCAAAAAACATTGTTCCTGTCAATCCATTCAAAGTGTGTTGTAGTGCGATGCAAGACGGCAAGAAGAATGACGATGGATGAGACAAATTCATTTAATTTTTTTTTTCCCGTCATCATCAAATCTTAACATGTTATGTTCGAAAAAAGCTGATATGTCCGAAAAAAGTTTCCCCCCATTTAATCAAATGTAAACCATGTAATGATTAAAATCACACTGCGTTCCAAAGGTCAAGTAGTGGTAGATCTAGATGCGACCACGTGAGCTTGGCTAAATGTCAACGAGAGGGGCAAATTTGATGTAAATTGATGCTATGTTCCAAAATGATGACAAAGATTTGTCCACTATGTGTCATCGTGGTTATGTTTGAAAGAAATTTGGTATTTTGCATAGAATTGTAGTAAAATGTGAATTTAGTGGCATTTTTTTCACCATTAGCATGCATTATGAGTCACCTGACTCTTTGTTTGCAAAATTTTCACAAAATGAATTAAAATTTGAAAATGAAGTTTTCATTTCTTTCGAACATAACTATGATGACACAAATGCGAACACAAAGACATTCAGAATTTCTTTTTTCTGTGATTTTATATGCTCTTCATGCTTATTTTTGAAAATTACAGAAATTAGAAAACTATTAAAATAATTTTATGTTCCATAAATTTCTTTTCAGGGCATTTTTTCATTTAATGTCATCATGGTTATGTTCGAGAGATATTTGATATTTAGCAGACATTCATAGTAAAATGTGAATAAAGTGGCATTATTTCATCATTAACATGCATTGTAAGTCTAATTGCGTCTTCTGAATCATTGATAGTCCCAAACAGAAAGTTTTTCATTTCTTTAGAGCATAACTGTGATGACACAAATATGCAGACACAATGGCATTCAGAATTTCTTTTTTCTGTGATCCTCACCATTTTATATGCTCTTCATGCATATGTTTGAAAATTAAAGCAATAAGAAAACTGTTAAAATAATTTTGTATGTTCAAATTCTAAAAATTGTGTCATCATAGTTATGTCCACAAGAATTTGACCTGATGTTATGTAACGCCAGTAACACAGCTTAGCATGCCATCTGTAGGCTGTAAATACATGTTTTTGTAGGAGGAGATATACATGAATAGAAAAATTTGAGTAAAAACGAAATATTAAAAACTTTAACATCAACCCTCTGTGCTACAGTTTAGATGTATAGTCTGTTTAGTTTTCGGGAGGGGGGGGGGTTAATCATTTAAAATACCCCCCACCCCCTAAAATTTTTGCACGTTTTACGATACAGCACACAAAATAACCTACTAAAACAAAACTAATTGAAATATGCAGTTTTCTCGTTGACAAAAGTTTCGTATAGAAATAGATGATCTTATCAAATAACAAAGAAAAATGAAAAAGCCTTAGGATTTTTTCAATGTCCTAAATTTTAAGGTTACCATTACACATAATCTACACCTAGGTTGTACATGAATGATGATTTCATCACATTCAAATATCTAAACATTTCCTATAAACATGCTGAACAGTGATACCACAAGACATTGTCAAAATGGAGAATCTGAAGACATGGAAATTTCAGTAGCACCTTCCCTGAAAAGAAAAAAAACCCCAGTATACTAAGCTTCCTGATCTAGTCTTCTGTAAATTATATTTTATCTCATAGCATGCAGTGACCAAGTTTGACCAAACCTTCCAACATCATTTTTTTCCCCATAAGAGTATTACAGTACTTGCAGCACAATAAGGTCATAAAAGTGCTGAGGATTAGAGGTGTAACAAGGGAGTAACAAACACAAAAAAAGGAGAAGGGGAGAAAGACAACAGATGTTTGATAGGAAAGAAGGAGCAAACCACAACAGACCACCCGCCAACTACCCACCTTCCAACATCAAAATATTTAATATTATCTATAATAATAATTATAATTGAGGACATGTTGGGCCTATTGACGGGCAAAAAAGCCAACATACAGAAACACAACAAACAGAAAAGTAGTTTCTAAACTGGATCTATAAGCAAACTACAAAAACAGTTACCAAAGTAAAGGTAGGCCTACACTGTTCTTCAGCTGCATATTTTCTCAATATTTCAAAATTACTTCAGTTCTTGCTGTATAGCACTCATTTGTATCAACATAATCTAATCAGGTAAGTAAATTTAAGAAGGTTGTTAAACATTTACTTCAAATCTTCCCCCTCTTCTCCTTCAGGACCCTCATCCCCTTGGCGGAAATCATGCTCGTAAAATGCCCCTCTTCGGGGCACATAGGCAGGATTCTTTTTGTCCTCATCATCATCAGGCTTGTCCTTTTCTGGCTGCTCCTGGGAAAATGGAAATAGTGACAATACAAGAAATGGAACTTAATCGGGGATATCAAAGAATCTATTTGACTACAACTTTTAAGAAAAAGGACTTAAAAAAACAAGAAAGCTAACTAAATTATCTTCTTCATAACAAAATTAAGCATACCCAGTTATAAAAGCAATCGACGTTCATAATTAACGACATGAAAGAGTTTAAATAGATACAGAAACTAGCACTTTTCAGAACAAAATAGAACTTTGTAACAGCTCTGTCTGAGATATGATGCCCAGACTAGTTACTTACAATGAATATTCCGGGTCTTGATTTATGCAGACCTGCCACTCTTCAAAATATATAGCTGGTGGAGTGATAAAACCTCATAACCCGCAATTTTTTCGAAATCCGTTGGGGTTTTTTTTTTGGGCTTAATGTTTTCTCCTAGTCCTTTTTCACATTGTCTCAAAATCAATTTAAATTAGTAAGAGAAATTATGTTTAAAAAATTAATTAAAAAACCTCGCATGTTTGCCCCCATGATATCCTGGCGTGACGAAACCTCGCAACCCTCACCTGGGACACCGATCTGCTTTTGCGTGATGCATCACTCTCGGTTTGAAAGAATGACGCTTATACAAGATTCCGCCCCACGGTATTTTTCTATAAGTTTTTTGTTTGGTAAATTGTATGTTTTTAAGATCCTCAAGGACTCTGAGGCCTAAGGGTTTGAGAAGTTTTTCGTTGTTTTGGAATTTGTTTACGGTGTCTGAGTTGGTTCTGAAAATACAGTCGTGAGCTGAGTTCTCTGGTGTTGAGCTTTGTTTATTTGTGTATTGCAGTGTGAGTGATGGAGAAGTGCGGAAAGCTCCAAGGGCGAGGCGGAGTCCTTGGTTTTGTACTGGGTCTAGCATCTTCAGGACATGGGGTTTTGCTGACCCATAGACCTGACAGCCGTAGTCAAGCCAGGATCGGACAAAGGAGATGTATAGGTGGAGAAGGTGTTTTGAGTGTCCGCCCCACCCCGGAGGAGACAAAATTTTCAGCGCGATTAATGCTTTCTGTCACCTCACGTGAAGGTTTTTTATGTGTGGAATTAATGAATGTGAGTTTCTTGTCAAATACAATGCCGAGGAAACGAGCCAGGTCCTGGACGGGAATTCTTTCCCTGAATAGCATCAAATCCAGTTGCAGCACATGTATGCCTGATCGGCAGAAGTGTACTGCAACCGTCTTTGACGGGGGAAAACTTGAAGCCATTATTGTCAGCCCACTTTTCAAGTTTTTCCTTTCTTTAGATCTTAGTTGAGGGTTTTTCGAACGGCAGCATATCAAGAAGTCGTCAACGTAAAACGAGCTGCCTATGCTATTTTGAAGGGTCTTAACAATGGCATCTATTTGATTTCGAATAGGAGAGGAGAAAGGACGCTTCCCTGGGGGAAACCTTCCTCCTGTTGGTGGGGGTCTGAAAGGGAGGATCCGACACGAACCTGGAAGTCCAGGAAGGAACGGTTCTTCAGGAAATTGCCAATTAAGGCAGGGAGGTGACCGCCTATGCAGAGAGCGTGCAGTCTCTCAGAATGCCCTGCTTCCAGGTTGTGTCGAAGGCTTTTTCTAGGTAAAAAAAAGATGGCGATCACGTGGCCTCCTTCGGCAAACGTCAGGCGTATAAAGGTCTCCAGGCAGACCAGGTGATCCAGAGTGGACCGTCTTTCCCTGAATCCGCACGGGAGACTGTTCAGCCAGCCTGTCGTCTCCAAAAATCACATGAGTCGCCTGTGAATCGTTTTATCCATAACTTTGCAGTGCTGTTGGTCTGTAATTGGATGGGTGCAGACCTGCCAACTTTTCAAAGTCAAAAAGAGGGAAAATTTCCTGAGCACTTATGGGTACCGACTATTGGCACTAGACGGGTATATAAACACGTGTCATATAAGAACATAAATATGGTATATATGATTTTTAGTAGTTGAAAACAGCAAAACCAAAAGAGAAGAAAAATATTCAAAACAAAGGAGAAAAATAAAAACAGTAGTAGGCAGTATGTGACAGGAAAATTTGTACTCACCATAAAACTATTTACACTATGTACAAGGGATGCCTGCAGCTGGCTACTGGGTAGAGGAAAAACTGGACAGCAAACTGATACTATCCTTTGTTGCAGTCTTGCACTTCCTCAAGAACCCGTCGGTCAAGTTCAGAGAGCTTTTCCTGACTTTGGTGACCAGCAGTGCATCAAGGGTCTCTGTTGACATCGAGGTCCTTGCCTCTGTCTTATTTTTTCTAACCAAAGAGAAGACTCTTTCTGCACTTGCATTGTTATGTGGCAATGACAATACACTTGTTGCTATCCCAGCAAGATTAGAAAAGGGTTTACTGTTGCCAACTTGTCAATGTGATGAAGCAACAGGTTCCACTGCTTGTCATCTCTACCAGATTCAGTGACTGACTGAGGTAGTTCACAGGACAGATAATTGATAAACTCCTCTTTAAGTTTATTCTAACAAATTGACAAATGTTTCAGCTTTGAGGCAAAGAAAAGAACACTTTCAAAAGATGATGATTGACTTTTGCCCACATTTACAAACTGAGAATGCAGTAGGGTCACATCATGTGAAGGAAACTTCTTCAGCATGCAATCCAGTGCAGTGCAATAGAAATCAATTAAGGCAGAGGAGATCTCTTGTTTCTGCTTTGATTTACACTTGTCCAGAAGGCCTTGGTTAACTTCCCCAAAGTACAACTGCTGATCAGGGATGTGGTTTTTTGAGTCCTGAAACTTGACCTTGGTTACATCCTTACAGTGCAGACTAATGACTTCTGGTTTCACAAATTTTACCAAACCAATATGTCTCTAAAGAGAGAGAAGTACAAATCCCTAGGCTTTTGAATCTGTGGCTCCTCACTTTGCACGATTCTCTTAAACTTATCAAAAGTAGGCATAATCCAGAGTAGAAAAGCACGAAAGATGGCAGCTTATTTGGAGTTCAAGATGCTGTGGATCCTCTCCAGCCTACCAGTAGTGAAGGCACTGACAAGGGGCTGAGCAGACTCTGTCATAGATTTTGCTGATGAGCTGCTGGTGGATGCAGAGGAATTAAACCATGAATTAATGATTGTCTTTAAAAATTTGCTTTTTGCTTTTTATCTGCCCTTTTCTCTTTCTTGGCAGCTTCTGTGTCCATTTCCTCCTTTGCTTTGTTGAAGTATTTGTTCAGAGGTTTCCACAATTCTTTGCAGTGAAGTTGTGAGGCACAGCCATCTCGTAGAACAATATTTCAAAATTTCATCACTTAAACTTAAACTTAAAGCAACTGAAACTCTTTGAAATCTGACTGTCTTTTATCAGAGTGGTGGAAATAAAAATAAAGGTCTATGAGAAACTCCTCTACTTTTACTAAAATAGCTGAAAGTGCTCTCTTGACAGCCAAGTTTAGCAAATGACAGCCACATCCACACTAAGCATATTAGGTTGCTCTTTCTTCAACAGAGTGCACACACCCCCTTTCCTCCCTACCATGACATTAGCTTTATCTAATATGAAAGCCAAGCAGTTCTCCAATGGAATCTTGTTTTTAGAAAGTTCTCCAAACACAAGTTCAGCAATGTTCACAGCAGAAGAAGATTTCTCTAACTCTGGCACTGAAAGCAGCTCTGTAGTCGCAGACTCACTAGCTTCATTATTAATGGTAATGACTAGAGGGTACATTTTACTGTCATGGTCGTTGGATCCATCTGTACCTATGCTAAAGACATTTGATTTGATTTCATCTTTGTCACCAGCTCTTCTTTGAAATGTTTGCCCATGCATTTTATAATGGCAGTTGACTTTGTTCTGGCACAAGCACATTTTTTTGCAATCTCAGAGTCAGGGCAGATGTTTTTTTAGAAGCAAGTGGCTATTCTCCGGCGTCGCACCGGTAAATAGATCGGAAGCTATTCTCCGGCGTCATAACTAGGCCTAGTAAGTCTACCTTTCATTATATTTATCTATGGTAATTGTCTAACATAACTTTATTCATTTATTTCCATTTCCATCGTCCATTTGCTTAAATCTTAAAATAATGCTTCTGTTTATTTAAACGAACAAAATTGATTTTGTGTCTAAAATCCTGTCTAGTCATATAGTATAGCTTGCTGTTTAACTTATTTCTTGTTGTTGTAATTTTCTATCAATTTAACTGATATTTCGCGACTTCAGTGCTTTTTTGTCGTATCTCCATTTTTGTAAACAGTGAAAATGAGACTCCTTCTTATGCTCACTCTTTGTTATGAACTCACGTCAATAGTTGAGAACACATTTCTTCTAGTACCCAACATAATTCTAAATTGGAGGAATTGGGGCAGTTTGTCTCTGAAAACCTATCATCTGTATCAATGGAAGTGGCACGAAGTGGTGCAGTTGTTGGAATTTTTTCCCAAGACAAACAGATGAGAGAGGTATTTGCAAATCTGCGCCAACAAATTATTATTTATAGACCGGCGCGTCGCAGAATAGCTTCTGATCTATTGACCCGCGCGACGCCGGAGAGTAGCCACTTGCTTTTTACAAAAGGCTCAAATTTGTCACTGGTAGCTATGGGCATGTTGTTGTCTACCAAAACTTCACAAACAAAACTTCTGATTTGATAACAGAGAGATCTTTATCTTCGGCAAAGAAGTCACTTATGTTTGTGCAGGAATCACTGCCTTTAACAGCTGCCACATGTTTGGTTGTTTTCAAATGTCTGGTAACATCATCCTTTCCACCACTTGCAATGCTAAACTCTGAATTACAAGACACACATCTAAGCTTGCAAAGGACTCCCCTTTTACTGATGGCTTAATGAAAAGCCACAGCTTTGTGTAGTCATCCCTAAACTTGGTGGCTGGTTTTGCTTTCTTCTTTGCAGGATCAGCATCAGTAGAATTTGACAGACTGGACCTAGGTCCTATACGGGAGACTGGCTGGAAGGTAGATCGATCAAGACCACGCTTCACGTTAAATATTTCCAGGCACCTTGTGCAAAGATCTTTACCCGATCTACCACACTGCGGCCAAAACAAGTGGTAACGCATAGTCTACCTCAGGTGTTTGGCCTACATAAGGCCAACATGGCAAATATGAACACCGGAAGAATGAGGCAGATGCTCGACCATTGAGTATCTTCGCACTTCGTAATTTCAGTAAAGAATTTAATTAACAATAGCTACACCACGTTAACGACGACCTCGATCCTGGAATGCAACCGGGAATTTCCCAGACAATCCTGGAAGGTTGGCAGGTCTGTTTTTATATTCTATCACATTGACACTTAATCTCACAGGTCTTTCTTTAAAACTTTACAAAGCTAATATCTATTCAATTATAGAAAATATTTTTGCGCTGTTTAGAAAGTAAAACTCTAAGATTCAGTGTGCCAACGGCCAAAGTAGCAGTCAAGACATTTTAGGATGTAGATCTAAATGCATGTTGAAACTTTGAACCCATTTTTCTCAGTATATGCTTTTATTAAAATTTTTTACTTCATTGTCTAAAACTTCAGTTTTAAAACAGACATCTTCAAAATTTGAAATGCAAAATACCCAGGAGAGTCCCTGCAATGAGACGGAAGCAAAAGTCAAAATACCCAGAAGTTGACACATTCCCAATTCTTGTTCTTTGCCACACATACAGTGGAAACCTGATATAACAGGGATGGTGGGAGTTGAGTAGAGAAAAAATCCTGTTATATCCGATCCCTATTAAATCAGAAATGCAAGGAAAGTAAGCATTTGGGGACTAACCCAGCTGTACTTATTCGTGGGTAGTTTCCCTTGCTACAAGTACCCACGAACAGGGGTTTTGGCACCAACTTTCTCCTTGCCTCCTTAAACCACATCAGAAGAACTAGGTCCACAGCATCAGCATTGGGTAGTCTAATCTTCTTTCGAGCCAGAGCAAATTTTCCATTGGAGTATGCTGACACTATCTTCTCTCTATCCTTGATAATGGTGTGAATCGACACACACATTGACGTCAATTCTTTGTCAGTGGAGCTTGCTTTTTGTCACCAGCCTGGATTATTTCGTATATTTTGTCTATTGAAAGGCATTTTCTCTTGCGCTTGACATCGTTGGTGGCCTAAATGAAAAAAGTAGGCTTAGATCTAGGCCGATCGATCGTCCACAGAGTGCGTTAAGCTTAGGTCTCACATGTACTGTTAGTGAACAGTCATAGTGTGGTGTGGTGTGCTTTGAACTGCGAAACAAGCTCTGCGCACGACCAGAATTGGCCATGCAGCAGGCCTGCGCATGACACATTACGCGTGCGTGTTGCTAGGCTAGGTTTCGGGCTAAATCGAGGTCTGCAGTACACCACAGCCCTCTCTCGCTTCACACGCTGCGAGTGCTTGCAGTGGCATGGCTTGCGAGGGCTTCTTCTATCACTGCGTTTCTCTCTCTCTCTCTCTCTCTCTCTTACTTTTTACACATTGTTAACGAGCCTTTGTCCCTGCTATAACCGGTTGGGCTCCGATAAGGCCCTGTTATTGCTGATAATAACAAAGAGTAAGAAAAAAACGGGGATTTAAAAACTCCCTGTTATTACCGGATCCCAGTTATTACCGGGCCTGTTACATATGGTTTCCACTGTATTACAAAATCCAATTTCCTGAACATTTAACTCAGAAAAAAACAATACCTCTCCATCTCCGCTCTGTCTTTCCTCTTCTAGTCCTTCTTCGTCTGTGTAGCCTCCTTCTGTCTCTGTTCCTGTCTCACTTTCCTCTTCAGATTCTGAGCCCTCCTCTGTCTCTGTTTCACTGCCTTCTTCTGTCTCTTCTTCCTACGAAAAGAAAAACAATGAAACAATAACTTCATCCATCGAAAATATAACCATTAATCTAATTACAGTCAAACCTGCGTAAGACGGAATCACAAGGGAGCGGGGAAAAAATTCCGTCTTAGACTATGAAAAAAAAACGATCTTGCACTTTTGGTGCAAGGTTCTCAACGCAAATAACCAGAGAATCTTCTATAATATGTACTGAGCCCACAGCCATGAGAGTTCGCGACGTCACGACACCGTACAGCAGGACTGTCCGCGAGTCACAACTCACCGGAAGTTCCCTCCGATAGCAAGCGGGAGGCAAATCAAATCACAAGCCTGCTCGCAAGCCTCTAGCGCAAGCAGTCCGCTGCTTTGCAAGCCTTCGATTAACCGAGCAGAATCCAGCCCTAATTTTTGCACATAGTGAGTGTAATAGCTAAAAAAAAATAATTTAATAGACCCATTTTAACCTTACAACTACAATACTAATACTAATATTGTGTGTGCCTGACAAAAGGATCCATAACGTCAGCAAAGTCAATTTCAATAGTCACAGGCCTACAAAGGCGTAAAGATAAAGTGATTACAGGTCAAAGATGTAGTCCACCCAGAAAAGTACAGTCAAACCTCATTATACCGCCTACTTTGGAACGAGCATAAAGTTGGCGGTACAGCAGGGCTGGCGGTATAACAGGATACCACCAATTGCCATCTTGACTAATGGTAGACTGGTCTTGCCTCATTTATATCTGTCTCACAAGATTTCCATAAGGCAAGGAAATAATAAGTAGCAACTAATTACACATACAGCTCTCCCTAAACTTTAAGGCGACACTCTACCTCTTAGCAATAAAATCTACAATTAAGTTATTTTTACTTGTTTTGTTTTTTCGCTTTTCTCAAAGTTATATATTCAATGATTAAAAATATTCAATTTTGGGTATCATTATCAGTTATTCAATCACAGAAATGGCAAATTAGAGTGAAACCAAGCAATCTGAAGGACCATTTGCTACGATTTTCAAAAGCTAAAAACTCAAAAACTGTCGATGCTATCTAAGAACTAATTACATATTTGAAATCTGCACACAAATCTTAAGAAAATGACGCTAGTTTTTCTTGAAATTGTAAATATTAATAATTTTATTACTTTTAGAAGACTTGCACATTAACGAATAACAAAAATAGTTAAAATAGCAAAGTAAAACAATCACCTAAAAAACGGATTTTTTCAAAAATTAAGGACCATCAATAATATATTAATAGAGGTACCAGCCATCCATGTCCAGGTGCTGTCATAGCTGTTTTCAAAACTTAATCTTGAATGGTTTTTGAGTTTTTAGCTTTTAACCTCTTTGCTGCTGTGCCCGTAGAATTTACAGGCCTGAACTGTGTAGTGCTGTGCCGTGCCTATGCCCCGTAGAATTTACGGGACTCTGACAGAGGTTGTTTGATACTAATTAAGGTAATTTCCTGCTAAAATCTTGTAATTATTTTTTAGGTACCTTCCTTTTACGTTTACCTCTATTTTCCCCCTATTTGAAAGCGTCAAGATTCAGATTTTAGATCGAAGAGAAGATTAAATCTAGATCTAGATATACACATTTACCGCACAAAAATGATTTACTGGCAGCAAACACAAGCTGTCTTACATAATATATATGGATTGTATGAGCATTGTGTATAAGGTAAGAAAAGCCTCTTGCCACTTCTTTACCAGCAAACACTCACACAACACGTACTTCCCCCTTTTTTTGCATCAGTTTATCATTACTTGAATGTGTGTTTTGTATTAGCTGTTCGGTGGTGTTGTTTTTAGCATTATGTTACTAACTCCAACTTTTCTCCATCTATCTCTCAATGAAATCCCCCCCACACACAAATCATTATATCAATAGAAAAGTGGTTCAATGTAGAATGTGCATGATGCAGAAATTCATGAGGAATTATTCATAAATAAAGTTATGGGAGGTAGAGTGAGGTCACCCCTAAGCAGCCCTAGTTCATGGGATTTCCCCTGGCACAGAAGCCTATTTTACCTGCGGCATTGAAGGGGTTAAAGCCAAGAAATGAATATTTTGAGGAAAAGTAGCAAAAGGATCTCAAAATTGCTTTGAAACATTGTATTGGCTCACAATGTTACAGACTTTACGAAGCTATCTGAAATACAGCTTTGGGTGAACCTCCATTCGATTTTTCAAAACCCAAAAAACATTGTTCGGACCCAAACAGGACCCCAAAAACCCATGTGTGGCCTTATTAAGTAAATTAAAATTGAAAGAAGCTAGGATCAGAGGCTAGGCTGTTTGTGTCAAAGACCCTGTAGACCTATTCTAAAACCGATATTCGACAGTCCATAGGCCGCCCTGGATCTATCAAGGAGTTTTAATCATGAATCCTCTCAAAACAAAAGCCTCACTGGCACTCACCAGCCTTTAGGCCACTGAGCGGATACCTGGCAATGCCAGATATTTTTCTCTCAGGCCAAGTCGACGTAGCTTCTTTAAAATTACTCCCGCAAGCACCTAGAAATAGGGTAGGGCAGGCTTGCAGCAAGCAGCCACTGTGTGGGTGTCGTGCGCTGTGTGTAGTGTGTACCTCAGGTGGCAACAGGACAAATTTACATTAGTTTAAGGGTGACCTTATTTAGGCCACATATGGCCTAAATAAGCTAAACCCCCCTCCCTTACCTTATTTAGGCCACACCTGTGGCCTAAATAAGCTAAACC